CGAGGGATAAACAGGAAGGGCCCAGGAGGAAGTGTCTTCCTCAGTCTGCAAAGTAACAACGGCCCTGGTGGGTGACGCACTGCAAATGCCTACGTGTCTGCCAACATCTGTGTCACTCTGGTGGCCGTAAGCACCCAGCTCTAACCAGTTATTTCTTACTTGCCTGGCAGGGGACTGGCTTTGCAGAGAAGAATTCCACGGGCGCTGTGATTTGAGTGCAAAGACGCAACCTGGTACCTGTCGCACCAGCACGTTGAGTGATTTTCTCATGCCTCTTTAACGAGTCTGTGCTGGCCCCTTCCCTTTTGGCCAGTCCTTCTGGCCAAAGGCTCCCATCTGCCAGGCAGCAGGGCAGAGCGGCAGGTGTAATCTTTGGTTATAAAAAGCAGTGAGTGGAACTGGCCGCACGGACGGTCCAGAGCAGCCCCGCTAACCAGTGCTCTGGTTAATTCGTTCCTCGTTACCCAGAGGCCCTGCTCTCGAGGACTCCCGGCGGCTGGCAGGGGCCGCTTGCGTGCGCATTGCTCCAGGTTTCTGAAACTCTTACTGCAGGAAGATCCTCTATGCCCCTGGAAGGCCACCGCTGGCTATAATCCGGCCACACCCCAAACTCATCCCAGGCAGTGGCTAGGACATACGAGCCACTCCAAAGCATCCCATGACTCTGCAGGGAAATTTATGAGATCCACTAACGACTCCGAAGCGCTATTAACCACAACTGCCACACACTCTAGTTAGGCACCAGGTCCCCAGTGAAGAATAGACTACTACTCTCAACATCTTCCCAAAAGTACAAACACTCATTCATTCATTGAATGATGCCATAAACAACTTTAACCAAGACTGAATGCCTAAATTAAAGCGATGACGGGGAGGAAGTCATATATTTGCTGTTTCGTATCTATAATGAAAGATTCAATGAAATTAAAATTAATCCGTTTTGGCAATACCAGGCTTTCCTGCTCTGCTGAGTCGCTATTTCGGCACAGCGCTCGAGGCTGGACCGACTCCTGCGTCTGCCGTTTCCCAGCCACAGGACCTGGAGTGACAAGTCTGTCAAATGAGATCAGAGCCAGCACCTACCCTCGTGAGCCTGTTTTATGGATAAGTGAGATGATAAACAGTGCGTGCCACACGGCGAGCCCTCAATCAGCGTTAGCCGCCCTGTCACCGCCGTCACCACCGCGCCTTCCAAATTAGACCAAGTTACCAAAATCATCAATCAAGGGAACCCTCACAGTTCACCGGTTCGGAACATTTATACACGATCAGAGCACACGGCGCTATCTCCCCGGGCAATCTGGTATATAGGCAGACCTTCCCGATAACCGCCAGCCTGGCAGAAGCAAATGACTACGCTGACCCGAGACATTTATTTAGCCGAACATAATTTTCAAATCCCTCATACGTGTAAAGCATATTTGTATCTCATCTTAAACCCCAAAAGACTGGAGGCTGCTTGTCACCTCACACACAGTTCCCTCTGGGTACCTACAATGCAGGATACTGTGAGGTCACTAAAACATACGCGACTCCCATTTAAAAAAAAAAAAAGGAAGTTACAGCTAAGAGGGATTCAGTGTCTTCCAAATCAGCACCCATTCTTGATCCGCTAATTCAAGAAATATTTTTCGGCTTCCCACGAGCTAGGGACAGATGCCCCAAAGACGCCACGGCGGGGAACTGAAGAGGAAGAAATGATCAAGTGTCTAACGGGAGCGGCACCCACCGTGTACTGGTGAGTACACACATAAAGGAAGCACATGTTGCCATGGAAACGCAGGAAGAGGACCTGGTCAGTCTGAGGGAGGGACCACGAAAGGCTTTCCACATGAGGTGATGTCTCGGCTGAGACTTAGAGGGCTAAGAGAAGTGAGCCACCCAAAAGGTGTGGGCTTTCAAGCGAATGAATGCCCCAGAGACAAGTGAGCGGTGTTTAAGGCACCTCTGGTCGTTAAGTTTGTCTCACGCACATCGTCTGAGACATGGCTACAGCAAGGGGTAGATCAGAGGTGACCCAGGAAGCCAGGGGATGACCTCGAGTGCAATGGGGACATAACACTTAGCACAGTCAGAGCTGCGCTTTTAAAAAACTTTTTCTGGCTGGAGTGAGAACAACCATCCGGGCAAGAACTAACAGTTGCCTGAACAAAGATAAATGGGTGGACTGAAGGGTATTGAGTGAACGGATGGGGAGAGGGCTGGGCAGAAGGAAGGCATCGCCGAGTCATACTGGACACCAAGCTTGGGCTGTAGAAGCCTGAGGAGGGCAGGGGGGTGGTGTTCCTTGTTGGGCAGGCTTAAAGCTTCTCTGAGCTATCCAAGAAGCCGAAACTTGATAAGTGGTTGGATTTCAGAGACCGGAATGCAGACGAGAAACCACAGCTGGAGACAGAGATTTGGAAGTTATCTGCACATGTATACGAGAAGTGAAGTTATGAGAGTAATTGAAATTCCCCAGAGACAGGCAGTTAAATGCTTCCAGCACAGAAACCTGACGACTGTCTGGCAACCATGAGAAAACGCAGGAGTGCAGCGTTCGACACTTAGGGTAGAAAATTCTTTGAGGAAGAACTGCCAATCGTGTGAAATACTGCAGTGAGGTCGATCGAGGTAAAGTCCAAAAAAATGTCCACTGGACTCAACAACGAGGTCACAAGTGAAGTGGGTTTGGTGACAAAGGCAAAGCCAAAGCCCAAAGGTGGTCAGCTGAGGGTAAAGGGGAGTGTGGCAAAGTGCAGATGGGAAGGTGCTTGATTGGCTGTCTGAAGGGAAGAGAAAAGACAGAGCACAGAGTGTTTGAAGTCTAGGGCTTAAATGCGAGAGGGGCGACGTGAGTTTTCTGATGGGACAGAACAATGAGAATAGACACCGGTGTGTCTGTCTAGGTGGGACATCTGGAGGTGGAGGTTCCAGTCCGATTCTGCATGGCAGAACTCACGCATTAGTTTCTGACTCACGTTCAAGATTCTTTTCATTTTACCAGCTTACAAAGGCATTTCTTTCCCCGCCCCCTCCCCACCCTTTAGTTCTTTCAGGAGGCTGAGTGGACAGAACCCAAACTGTAATCTAATCTGATGTGCCTCATTCCAAAAGGCAGGGGCTCAACTTCTTCAAAGCTAATCCTAAAATCCTCCTAAGCCAAGCGTTTCCTCAGTGATGGACCACTGCATCTAACATACGCTGGCTTCAGGGCAGGCTCCGTGCTGCAGCCCAAGGCCAACAGTTTAAGTACGTGTTAAGTTTGATCTTATACTCTAGGTCCGATAATTGTCAGGCGTGCCAGACAAAGACAGTGTAAGGGGAAAACAACAAAGAAACAAAGAATTTTGAAACGTTCCAGGATGGTTCCAGAAATCTCAAATGTACAAGAAATAAACGGACTGAACTGCTAGGTAATTATGGTCTGCTCCTGTTTCGACATTTGTGAAATCCAGTTTGGGTGCCAAGAAAAGATTTCTCCTAGAATCATCACATCAGATTCTGAAAGAACTACTGGCAGGGTATTTACACTGTCAGCTTAGCAAGGACTGACCCTCAAGAACTACCGAATATTGACAACGAATATTGTGAGATGCTATGGCCTATTTGAGGAGCCTGAAGCTGAGATGAAGTAAGCAACGGGCTGCTAAAGCCATATATGTTCCATTACTAATTAATTTTTATATGAAGAGACACTGAATTAAGTACAGTTAGACCAAATAAAATAAAAACATCTTTTTGCAGTTTGTGATCGTTGTAATTGATGTTCAAAGGCAGGTTGATACCGTTTGGAGGGTAGCTAGGTAAAACACATTAGCTTCATGAGCAATTCAAATAAATAGTTCGAATAAATAAATTAGATTACGAAGTAACACTTAAGCACTTCAAGGAACAAACTCTTCAAAGATATAGTATATACTAATTA